CTCTTTCTCTGTTTTAATTTTAAAAAGAAAATATATATTTTATATATTTAAGAGATAATTAAATATAAAAGATAATTTTTTAAATATTACTATTTAATCGTAATATATATATATATATATATGATTTTCTATCGTGTAAGATAGATTTTAAATTGAAGTAATACTCTAAATCGTTAACTAATCGCATTTACAATTTTCTAATCCTAAGTTCTAATGAATATATATATGTGTGTGCATATATGTAAGTGTCTCTCTACATATATCGACCTTTCTCTAAATTTAAAGGTTTCCCAGACCTTGGCACAAGTGCATTAACGTTGCAACGAGTTATTATTAATTCTAATTTTATATTCTTTTCTTTTTTTTTTTCTCTCTCTCTCTCTCTCTCTCTCTCTCTCTCTGTTCAATGCTTGTCGCATACTCTAGACGATGAGTAATATACTTTGACGTTATGATTACGAATGAGAAATGAAATAATAATGATTGTTATATTTTAACACGTAATATTAATAATTAATCGTGCACGTGACTTTGATTTATTTTTGTTTCTTTTTTATTTACAAACGATCGAACATCAATTGTCGTTAGATATTTCAATAATTTCGATCAATTGTATTATGCATGCTACGTACAGCATAGTGTATGTGTGTGTATGTATAATACGTGTTCTCTTTTTCTTTAATGTGTCAATTTAATCGATCAAACAAGATCTAAACGTTTCTATTTTAATCCTAAATATATTAAATTATCCCCATCAGAGAAAATTAATCTGTCAATGTAAGAAATAATATTTTCTTGTTATACGTTTTCTTTTATCTATATTAACACGCGAATAACACCATAAATAAATCCAATCGAAATTTATAATTAATTCTATTAACGTTTAACAACTAATGCAACGTAAGGAAGAAGAACTATTTGATAAGTCATCAGTAATCATGGTGTATCATATGCACGATGAATAATAAATAAATAAATAGTAATAAAAAGTATGTGTGTGTGTGTCTCTGTCGAAGGAGTTCTTACGGGAAATCATAATGAATCGTACATCGGTTAATATAATTGTAACCGGTCAAATCATTTTGACCATGGAATCATGGCCGATCTTATAATAACATTCCTGTACCTCGGCCTTCTGAATACTTTGAAAAAGAAAGAGAAAAAATTAAAAAAAAAAAAAGAAAAGAAAAGAAAAATAATATAAAATAATTAAAAAAAGAAAAAGGGAAAAAAAATTAACCAACCAACCAACGAACCAAACATAATTACATTTTCAATGACATCATTTCTTTCACGTAGATATTACAACTTGTGTGCTATATAAACCGTTCGAGAAAATTTTCCACGATATTTGCTCTTGTTAAACGTGGAATCATTTTTCTTCTGGCAATGAGAGACGTACTAGGAAGAAAAACGTATTAGATTTTTTTTTTCTTTTTATATATATATTATTCTTTTTTTCTAGGACGAGAAAAAGATAGCAAAGATAGCAAAAAAAATTCACACACACACATACATATATATATATATTCGTGACACCATTCATTCGTGTCTTGCAAGAATTCATTCCTTCCTTCCTTCATTCCTTTTTTACTTTCTTCCTTCCTTTTCCTATTCGTTTGAATCGATCGAAAAAAGAACGCATTAACAATTTGCTGTTGTCGGTTTCATCGACCTCATACGAATGAGAAACATGACTACCAAAAGGCTCCGTGCCAATGGTAACGAGGTGACACAGAGAGACACTCTTAAAATTAATCAATTTTATTCATTACGAGTCTCAAACGTTATAATCGTGCCAACAATTCCTATTGTTTAATACAATTAACATTAAAACTCCTTCTATTACTATTATAATTAATTATAAATTCTAATAAACCACTCACAATTATCTTATATAATATTAAACTATTAATTACGTAATTAGAAATAATTAATTGTTAATCTAAAAATATATATTGAATGATATAAAAATATTTGTATTAATTTATAATACCGAAATAGTATAATAAATGAATCATAAATATACATTCACATTTATTTCAATGTTTTATTTATATATATATTCTTGTGTGAGAGAATTTCTGTCACGAATGCAATCGTGATCAGAGCATGACCGAAATATATGCATTACGTTATGATATGCACGTGTTAAAATACGTTAGATGTTAGCCAAAAGTTCATCCAATTATTACGTTAGACTAGTTATTATACTTTGGTAGAAGGAAATAGAATTGTTTTGCTATATTATCTCGGTTAGATATTCCTCAATGCATTCCATACAAAGTAGTATAGTTTTAACGATCGATTGGCATACCATTCGTTGAAAACCTATTTGATCGATACCGTCGGACTATTTCTTTCTTCCTTTTTTTTTTTTTTTCTTATGCAATCTACCTTATTATTACTCTAATCAAACTATTCGATTTAATCTTGCAATGCGCATTTATTTAAAACCTTATTTAATTTCTATCGATTTAACATTTGTGTGTATCGCAATTAGAAATAATATTTATCTAATTAAATAAATTAATAAAAGAGGAAGATTTGTTTTTTTTTTTATTAGAACACTTTACAAATAATTTTTTTAATTAAAATTGAATTTATAATAAAGAAAAAAAAAGATGTCAGATAAATTTATTAATAAAATACTAATTTTATTTATTTATTCTATTGGATATTAAAGAAAGATTTGTTTATATCTTTTTTTTTATAATAATAATAATAATAATAATAATAATGAAAGAATACTCGATAAAGGATACGAGTATCGATTCGTAATTGTACGTTTTTAAAAAACCGATCGATATGAGAGTCACGTAAGAAGCAAAAATCGAAGGGAGTCATGCGTCAATGGACCAAACGACGACGATAATAATTCATCCATGCGAACATAAACGAGGAAAGAAAATTAAAAAAGGTAAATGCGTTTAATAACCCTCAAATATACTTGAACGATTAAGTTAAATGATTTTTAAACAAGGACAACGATGATTGATTTGATTTAACTATCACGTTACCACCCCGATCACGATATCTCATGGTAAATCGTTGGATAAAAACTATATTCACAATAAAATTATGAAAAGTTATAAAAAAGGTATTATTTTCTATATATATATATTTTCGTCTACGGGTTATATAACATAACCACCCAATATTCTTTATCAAACGTATGATAACAACATTTTATTTTTAGTTTAAAACGTGTTACCCGTTCCCCGTCCCATCCCTCATTATCATAAAACAAAATTTATATTCCTGTTAAAGTAAAAAATAAAAAAAGGAAGCAATAATTTATCGACTTTTTTAGTTAATTAATCAAAATGACAAACATAATTGATTCTTATTGCATTATATTATTCTACAATGTTTTATTTTCAAACGAATTCCAAATAATTTGTGATTTATTTAAATGGTCGATCGAATTGTTGGTTCTCTATTATCTTTTCTGTGTTTCAAAGATAAAAATAAAGAGAGGAAGAGAGAGAGACAGACAGAGGAAGTTACGTAAGGACAATATTTGCAGAGAAAATGGTTAAAGCTTGTTGTTGGTATCGATAACCAAACCAACACACTCTTCTAATATAACCCACTTTTAAATTTAGATATATTCCATAGATAAAAGATAAATTTGCAGGAACTTACCAATCGGGAAAGAGTAGGTGTGCCTCGACAAGGATGTCTCGTAGAAGTATGGTCGCAGGTGGTACGTGAGGTAAAATAACAGGAGCGAATACACCGCATACACCAGCACTGCGTCCGTGTCTTGCTTCGTATCTGCTTAAATAAATCGCCAAGTAACCGAGTAAGTGATAATGAGAGGACGGGAGGGTTGACAGGAGTTCCTTCGTCGATTTAATCCAGGATTCGTGATTATTTGAGTAATCATCTGTTGTTGAAAAGAAAAAAGAAACAAACGTCAAAAATAATTTATCAATTGAATAATTGTATGTGATTATTATATGAGAACTAGATATTATATAATTATGATTAACAAGAGTTGAATCACATATACAAAAATTAGGAATAAATGGATTGAACGATTTGCTTTTCAAATTAGTTTTAACTATATATATATATATATATGTTCAGTTCAAATGTAATTAACTAACACTCTATTCAATTGATCAGTGATATTTGATCACGAATGTATAAAAAACGATACATATTAATTGAATATTGAATAATAATAATAATATAATAATAGATATTTAAAGTGAATCAAAAGTTCGTGGATCTTTTTAGTTTTTCTTTTAACATTTTCCAAAATATAAATTTGACACAAAAAACAATCCCACACATGTGCAATTTATAATACAATAAAACTCACAAACTTTTGATTGACCCTGAACAATAATCAAAAACCCTTTTACTAACTGTTATGAAGATTTAACAATCTCGCGACCAACGTGGACGGTACAACGGGTTGCGGTAATTCTTTCAGGTACTGTCGAAGAAGGGTGGCTGCTGTGGATGGGCAAGCTGCAACTTCCAAATCTGCATCACCTTTTCTTTCGAAAGCTGTCCTCAATTTTTCAGCTAGGCGTGGACTACCACCGGACAAACGAAATACCGCAGCACTTTGGAATCCGTGAGTTTCGATGTAGCTGCAGAGCCGATGAACCACGTAAGGTACTCCAGTTTCTTGATAAGATTCTATCAAGTCTAGCCGTGCACCGAAAACTTTTGTTGAACCTCCACCACCACCACCACCACCTCCTCCTCCACCTGTTCCTGTTCCTGTTCCTCCTCCTCTGCCACGGCCAAGGAATGATCCTGCGAGGACTCGCTTCACTCTTGCAAGGCGGGACTCGTCCTGAGAGACCGACCAGCTTGGTTAAATTCTCGTCCGATGTAGTTTGTCTGTGAGCGTACGGTCAACGATCGACGATGGATGCAACGTCACTATTCGCATATGACATTTCAAAGTTCCTACATTCAAAAATCCATCGGATCAGTGCATCTCGAAACTTCCTATCCATCATCTCAACTATATTTTCCCTTTTTAGAAGCTTTCAATATAGGACTTGTTCGAGTTACACTAGTAGAACATCTACATTATATGAATGTGTCGTCTCAGGGAAATGATGAAAATATAAATCTGATCAAATCTTTAAGGTAAATGATCAATTCATGGAATATGTTTAAATAACAATACTATTGGGAGTGTTTTTTTACATGAAGAAAGTAAATGATTTGATCAAATCTTTTTAATTGTTTTATTGTTAATGAAAAGATGAAATAAACAAGTCAGTTTTATAATCAAAATCTATGGACATTATTATTTACTAAAAATGTATACTTTTTGTTTTTCAAAATATCAGCTTTTTTTTGTTAATTAATTTCGAATAAATAATTTGTAGTTTTTTTCAATGACTATTCTTGTATTATCTACTCTACATTTAATAATGCACGGTTTACTAAATAAATACTTACAATATCTAAACAATATTATATATTTCATCATTTCATTAAAACAGTTAAAGGATTTGATCAAATCATTTATTTACTTTCTTGAAGTAAAAATCATCTTACAGAGTTGTTATTTAAACATCTTCCTTGTAATTGATCATCTACTTTAGGAATTGGATTAAATCTACATTTTTATCATCTCCCTGCAACAAATACATCCCTTTCCTTCCTTCTTGTCATATTATACTAATCCTATTTTTTTTCTATTACAGTAATACAACTATACTTAAACTCTTAGAGAAGTTATTGCACGCGTATAATTACACACTTATAATTAATTCACATAACGGGAGGTTCTACTGTATACCCAAATATATTATACGTAAGCTTATACAATTAAATTAAATTAGAAATAAAAAAGGACAGTAACTTTTACGCGACCTTGACATACAATTCGCGTTCCTATCTTCACTCTATCCCTCATTTTTAAGTGTTTCCTAGTTTTCTTGTTTATAAGAGAGATAAAAAAATGAAGAAAATAAAAGAAAGAAAGGTTTTACCTTATCGTGGGACTGTCGCGAACGCGTTGGACTTGCCGATCCATAATGAGATTGATGCTGATTGTTTTGTTGCTGATGATGATTATGATTATGATTCTGATGATTGTGATTATGATGATTCTGATGATGATGATGATGATGATGATGTTGTTGTTGTTGTTGTTCTTGCTGAGGACGTCTCATCCCACTTCTACACCGCGACCCACTGCCGCACTATAATTAATTCAAATAAAAATAATATAATTTTAATTATTATAACGTATAAAAGATATGATCAAATATTTCTACAAATATAATATTATATCAATGAGCAAAGATCTTACAATACAATCTCTCGCGATTCTCCACAGCTTGGAATATGCCAAATTCGGTATGATGATGGTAGTTGGTCGAAAAACCGTCTTCTTTTAATTCTGTTAAGTCGTATTATATTCACCAGACGTTCCGTTACGACGTACGATAAATTTATTCGATTTTTTAAATAAATTAAATAAATATATATATACATATATGTATATATTATATGTATATATATATATGTATATATATATATATATATATAT